ATATATATATATATATATATATATATATATATATATATATATATATATATAATGTTATTTTAATTATATTGTATGACATATATTTATATATTGAATTTTTATTTCTTCCTATTTATTATTATTTTTAAATTTCTTATCCTTAAAGTCCCCATGAAATCAATATGTTAGTCTTAAGGTTATCTATAAGGCAGTGTGCTCCAAAACAGTGACAAAATTCACATTTAGAAGATATAAGCATTCAAATCTTGCAGTTCGTCACTTCCGCCAAAACGGCTCAACGATTTTTTTGACGTCACATCGTACTTCAGTTTCTCATCCAATCAAATGCTCTCTAGAATCCGAAGCCCCGCCCCCTACACTATAAAATAGACGCTGAAGCCGCGGCTGAAATCGGTCACTCAGTATTAGTATTACAGTATACTCAGTATTTTCTGTACAGTGAATGGCACGTAGTGCACTATATAGGGGACAGGGAACGATTCAAACAGTGTAAATATGCTTTCCGTTGAGGAAAAAAAGAAGTCTAGTTTTGCACTGTGTCACGCTAACCACCGCACCGCACACACACTCGGCTCCGCTCCAGAGACACGATAGCATGGAGCGGATCACATGCGCGAGTCGGCGCAGACCACAAAATGTAACGGAGCTATTTGAATTCTACACAGAATGCTATATTTTATAGCAATATGGATGAGATTGTGGCTGTCAAATGCGGCTTTACGGAGCTCAACGGCTCTGAACGGCTCTAGCCCAAGCTGTGATATAAACGAACGCTATTGGCTATTTTAAAAAGGGGCGGGGCTGCTTGATATGTCCCGCCCTGTCTTCCTGTTTCAGTTAAAATGACGTCAGCACATAGAGTAACGCTGCGTGTTTCTAAGCATTTCGGGGGACCTTTAAATGATTTAAAATGCTAATTTTATTTGTATTTTCTTTTTCTTTCTATTTATCATGGCTATATAAAGCAGAATTGTGCACAACATGTGCTATATAAATAAATGTGCTTTGTCTTTTCTGACACCACAAGTGTATACAGAAACAGGCAAAAACAAACTCCAGCCAAAAATAAAGAAAAAATACTGCTATAGAGCAACTGGACGAGTCGCAGATTTGGATTAAAGTTTCCAAAAAAAGCATTCCTTCATCATGAAGTCTAAGGTTTACAGAGCTGTATTCTGGCAAACCCATCTACATCTAGTTGTTTTGGCCTCATCTGACCCACTGCAAACTGTAACCATATGTGACCCTGGACCACAAAACCAGTCATAAGGGTCAATTTGTTAGGATAGGACAATATCTGGCCAAGATACAAATATTTGAAAATCTGGAATCTGAGGGTGCAAAAAAAATCTAAATATTGAGAAAATCACCTTTAAAGTTGTCCAAATGAAGCTCTTAGCAATGCATATTACTAATCAAAAATTAAGTTTTGATTTATTTACAGTGGGTAATTTACAAAATATCTTCATGGAACATGATCTTTACTTAATATCCTAATGATTTTTGGCATAAAAGAAAAATCGATAATTTTGACCCATACAATGTATTGTTGGCTATTGCTCCAAATATACCCCAGCGACTTAACACTGCTTCTGTGCTCCAGGGTCACATATCAGCCTGAACATCTCACTCACCCTGCTGAGCTGCTGCAGCAGTCGATGGTTTTGTTCTGACAGCTCGCTGATGGCTCGGCTCTTGTCGCGGTCGGCCTCACGCAGCTGCACCTGATGTCTCTCCAGCTCCCCCTGCAGGTGTTGCACATCTGTCTCCAGTTCGGCCACCCGGCCTTCCCACTCGCCCTCACGACTCTCCAGACGCCGCCGCAGCTCGTGCTTCTCCTGCTCCAGGAGCTGGAAGAGAAAGACCTGGGTCACTGACATTTATTGAGGAAATCACTGGATTTACCAAAGTTTGTCAGGTTAGTGGCATCAAATCTTTAGTAGATATTCATAGTTTTGCACTTAGTAGCAAATAAACTAGTAATATAATAAAACTACCAAAACTACTGTTTTGAACTTTTATGTTCAAAAGGTTTGGAGTCAAAATTAATACTTTTATTCAGTAAGGATTCATTAAAGTGACAGTAAAGACATTTATAATTTTACAAAAGGTTTGAATGTTCTATTCATCAAAGAATCCTGAAGAATACAACGTATCACATTTTCCACAAAAATATGAAGCAGCACAACTTCTTTTTAACATTGATAATAATCAGAAATGTTTCTTGAGCCGCAAATCAGTATATTAGAATGGTGTCTGAAGGACTGGAGTAATGATGCTAAAAATGCAGCTATGATCTCAGCAATAAAATACTTTTGAAATATATTACAACAGAAAACAGTTATTTTAAATGTTAATAATATTTAAAAAAATTTTTTATTGTATTTTAGATCAAATAATTGCAGCTTTAGTAAGCATAAGAGACTTTCATTAAACAAGAATATTTGTGATATTTAGTACTTTTGGACAGACAGAATTTCAAATTAAATTTCTGTGTTCTATGATCTGATTTTTCTCCATGCTGGCAAACTGTTGTGGCATCAAAAGTACCCACAAAAGTACCCACCAGCACCCTTTCAAAAGTATTAAACTGCACCATTTAGGTCCTAAAATCTACCATTTAAGTACTAATATGTATACCCTTAAGGTACTACTCTAGGGATAAATGTGGTACAATGCTAGTCCATGATAGCCAGACATCCAGATGTCATGGTCTGAGTTCTCATGTCATAAAGGGTCAGTCAGGTTGAGTCCCGGGCACCTCTGAGAGCTCTTGCTATAATTGCAGAAAATGAAATCTGGCACCGATTAAGAGCCATGAAATCCACTGTGAAGGCTATCAATGCAATTAACTGTTAGAAGTTATTTCAGTGCTGATTATTTGCTTTTGTAAGAGGGTGAAGGATTTCTCAAATTAATCTGAAAGTATGAGTAAAGAAAAAATAGCAAACTCGGACATGGATTAAGACAAGAGGTTTAAGTCAAAGATGTGAACTGGGCAGGATGCATGGAGAAGCGTCTGGCCCTCAGACGGGTGAAGAGAGCCAAAGCACATTAGCTTTGCTTGCAGCATTGCTGAAACGACCATAAGAGCCCATATAGATCTGAACCAGATTCAACGTCTTCACACAGTCTACATTCAGTGACAGTAAACGCTTGGGTCTTGACAAACAGCCATTAGCTGTGGTTCTAGTGGTTTCCTCATGCCATTCATCGTCATAGACATGATTTTTTTATTTTTATGACTGTATAAAAGTGTTTATAACCTAGTATGAGTATTAAAAAACATTTGCTTTTAGGATTTATGCATATTTTTGTGCAATTAGAAACAGTTTTGAGCACAGCTGCAGCTGGGAACTCTTCAGCATGAGGAAGAAACTGGAGACTAACCGTTGGAGACTAAATGTGTTCGACTCATTTAAGTGATTATGATACATCTTGATTAATAATTAAAAAGCAGACTGACTGCATACCCATGTAAACAACACATGCCTGTGAAATCAATCACAGCTCTGGAGTATCAAATTACACTCGTAAAAATAAAGCTTCATGATTTAATTGATTATTAATATTTTGGGGGTTTGCTTTTCATTTTTCTTATTTTCAGGAACACAAAGCATCCTGATCTGCTGCTGTTGTTCTTTTCTATTATTATAAATAAACAATTTTTTTTTATAAATTAATAAATTGTAAATTTTATATATATGTAATTTGAATTATATCCAATATATACAATTGTGCCATTTGTTGTTCTGCCTTTAATTGATGCTTTATTTTTTTATATCTATTTTATATATATTATATATATACATACTCTAATCAAACTAACAAGCATAGCAGTTTTGTTTGTTTTAAATAGGCCTACAATGAAAAAACTTGATTCAGTTGCATACTGATTACATTTTTTTATTAATTATTATAAATAAAGTATTGTAGTATAGATTATTATAAATAATATATCATTTGAATTATAACCAATTTTTTAAAACTCTACCATTTATTGTACTGCTTTATATTTGTTTGTATGTATATATATATAAAATACAATATTCTAAACTAACAAACACAGCATTTTTGTTTGTTTGTTTGTTTGAATAGTCATACAATGAAAAAAACTCGATTCATTCCCATCCACCAACTTCCCAGATTGCACTGGGCATGAAAACGTAGTATGTTTGCATTTGACTGGATTTTTATTTACATTGTTGTTGTTGATTTTTATCATCGTTTGGAGTAGTACCTTATTGTCTGTGAGCTCAGGATACGTTAGCTTTAATTAAAAAACTGTTATTTGTTACCCTAGTCGTATTTCATGTACCAAAAGTTGATATCTGTGTCAGAAATAGCTATAGTAAGTTGAAACCAACTTGAAGAATCCAATGGCAGAAAGTCCCAAAGACTTTCTTAAAATGCAAACTGTTGGCAGTGTGTGGACTCAAATATAGTTTTAGAGTTCCTCACCTCCAGTTTGTCGTTTAAATCCTTGGTCATTTTGTCATATTGCTTTGTGAGGTCTTGGTTCCGTTCAAGTAGAGCTTTGCCCAGTTTAGCAGCGAGGACCAAGTCCTTCTCTTTCTGCCGGAAGAGCGACAGTAGGTCAGAATCCTGTCCGCTCACAGGTGTCTCTGAGGCGGCTACCTCCAGATCCTCCTCCCGTTCGCGGGTGAGCATGGCCAGCTCCTCCTCCAGAGCCATGCCGAGCCCCCCGGGCGCGGTGTGTAGCAGCGTGAGGGTCTGGTATTCCCCGGCGGAGTCTGGCGAGCTTTGACGGCTGGGATCGAGCGCTCGGTCCATGCGGTCGCTGTCCAGCTGCGGTGGTGCTGAAACCGCGCTGCGCAGATCGAGGCAGGACGCGGACATCGCCGGAAACACGACAGATCGAGCGCTTTAGACCCGGTGAGCCCGCTTTAGTCCTGGCCTGGGTCCAGGTGACCTGCTTGGCTCTGGGTCGATGATAACGCCATGGAAATGGATCAATCGTATCCAGTATGATTATATGCGCTTTACCTGGTATCCGGTGACAATTAATTGATCACTGAGCCCAATAAAATCCATCAAGCCTCGCGAATCTGTGTATAACACTCTCGAGATGGCTGATCTTCACGTTAACCCCCTTGATGATCACTGTCCAGTCGTTGTGTCCACTCCAGAGCACCGGGGTCCCGGTTATTCCCCATTATTGTCGCCCCTAACTCACATCCCTGGCCTGTACAACACCCAAATACACGGATTGCTCTCGCGCACGAGCCTCCTCCCAACCTCTCTGCGCCCGTGACGTCAGCTAATCAACCTGCTCATCGTAGCCGCTCATTGGTGGATTGTGATAACGCCATATGCTATAGAAGAACTGGGTGAAAGACATATGAATGTTGCTGGTGTGTTGGGGAACACAGTACGTTCTTGAAGGTGAATGACCTAATTATTTTTCCCCCTTTTTTTAAATATTCTGAATACATAAATATAATATTCTGAATACATAAATATGACACTTATAAACAAATAATTTGATCTGTAAATAGACAGATTAAAATATTAAAATAAATAAGTAAATGAAACATATAAAGGATGCAATAAATAAATAGTATAAATAAGTAATCAATCAATCAATCAATGTCTGCCAAAGACGTTTTCATACAAATTTTTATTAAACCCCAAAATAGCTGTATTTTTTCATTATTATTATTATTATTATTTCCAAGATGACATGTAAATGCTGCTCGCTGAACTCTAGGCAGTATACAGTATTTACTGTGCAGTAAGCGGGACCCAAGTATTCCAATGTAAACAATCATGATGCTAAATCACAGACATGAAGAACAATACTGCCATCTGGTGGAAAACAAGTGCTCGACAGAAATTCTACAAATTGCTGAATATTTCTCTTGTGGGTCAGCCTTAAAAAGTACAAGAGTAATACATTTATTCATGAAGATAAATTGAATAATTAATATATTGCCTAAATAGTTGCACCAGTGTTTAAGGCAACATCCTACACGCCAAAGCAATATCCTTTGAATGCATGTTAAATCTGTACATTACTAGACATTTAGCTGCATCAGTACAATGAAAATATTCAATAGATTATTTGCTTATGCTGTTCAGCAACATGTGAATCAATTTACATACTGTATCACATTTTCAGTTTAATGTTATTTAATTTGATTTCAGCACTTGTTTTCTGTCGCTCTTGAAAACTCTGGAGGACGAGAGCTCTTAAATGTCCTGATGATTATTATTCCAGTCTGATTGATTTATGATGCATTTGTGGAAGCTCTTTGCTGAATGCATTAGCGTTTATATAATGCTCTGAGTCATAGTCCTGAACTTGTGACTATCCCAGCTCTCTTCTACAGGCCTAAGAGAAAATACAACGATTTTCAGTGCTGTTATACAATCCATACACAATCCACACTTTTAGAGATGCTGTGCTGTTAAAGAAGCATATCTTTAAATACACAATATTTATTACTTATATAAGAACCCCAATATTTCTAGGCAGTTCCTTCACAATCCATTGGAGGGAGTTGCGCTCTTCCTTATCTAAACACATATTCTCCCAAAGACATTCTGCTGTTGGAGTGCCTAGTCAAGAGCAAAATCAAGGTTATTTGTGATTTCATAAAGCTCAGCCTAATGCTGTTAACTTCCATACTAAACGATGTGTTTCACTACTGGTTTTAACTGATTACAGTTGGGCTTAGCCAGTTTAAGTCTATATTATGGGCTCACGGAAGTTAAATTAAAAAATTGAATGTGGAGGATGTTAACTGTGCCAAGATGATTGACAGGCCAGTTTACAGTGACACATTTAATACACGAGTTTCACAATTTGAGTTGAATTACTAAAATAAATGAATTTTTCCACGACATTCTAATTTATTGAGATGCACCTGTATGTACTTATGCACTATGTACTGAACCATGTATAGTATGAATTATATAAGGTTATTTTGTCATTCATAATCGGAGTCTGATAGCCCCTCTCCCTTTGGTACATAATTAAAGGGTTAGTTCACCCAAAAATGAAAATGAGTCCTTAAATTACTCACCCTCAAGTCATCCTAGGTGTATATGACTTTCTTCATTCAGACGAATCCAGTCGGGAGTTATTTTAAAAATTGTCTTTGATCTTTCAAGCTGTTTCATGGCACTCAGCGGGTGTTGCATGCATCAGTCCAAAAGCAGTTAAATAAAAAGCACCCATCCATAAAAACAAAAGTGTCTCACACGGCTCCGGGGGGTGAACAAAGGCCTTCTGTAGCAAATCGATGCATTTTTGTAAGAAAAATATCCATATTCAAAACATAATAATCACTTTAATGTAGCTTGCGCTCACTGTTATACACGGAAGCGGTTCCAGGGGAATGACGTATGGAGGTCGGCTTTGTGCATGCGCCGCTCAGAAGTGATGCAAGTGGAAGCGCAGCGGAGAGATCAAAACAAAACAACGGTCATTAATTAGAAGTACAAAACGAGGATTTGTAAAGAAGAATGTTGGAGGATTTCGATATATGCCAAGAGGAGACTGGTTTTCCTTTGCTAAAGTAAGGAAAGTTTTCTTCCTTTGCTCCTGTTAACAAATGTTGGTTTTCACGAGACTCACCGGTGCATGCGCAGCACTGACCTCATATGTCATGCTCCCGGAACTGCTTCTGTGTACAACAGTGTGCGCAAGCTACATTAAAGTGATTATTACGTTTTGAATATGGATATTTTCCCCCCCCCCCCCGGAGCCGTGTGAGACACTTTTTTTATGGATGGGCACATTTTATTTAACTTCTTTTGGACTGATGCATGCAACACCCGCTGAGTGCCATGAAACAGCTTGAAAGATCAAAGACAATTTTTAATATAACTCCCGACTGGATTCGTCTGAAAGAAGAAAGCCATATATACCTAGGTTGACTTGAGGGGGAGAAATTTATGGACTAATTTTCATTTTTGGGTGAACTAACCCTTTAAAGCTGCGACAACTGAGTGCATGAAGTGTCCAACATTCCACACTTCATTTAAGTGCATCATCCGGGTATTTAAAGTGCCCTTTTTCTTTCTGGAATTTTCAGTGGGAACACACTACTCACACTATTTATACTACAAATAGTAATAGAATAGTGCATAAGTACACGATTTGGGACGCACCTACGGTGTAACTATGCGGCAGAGCGGTCCATTAACGACGCAATTGTATGACGTGATAGTATGTCCCAAATCTTGCCTACTCTTCTACTACACACTCAAAAGTGTGTACGTTTTCCTCACCAAAAAAGTACCTACTTTAAGGGCGTAGAATTAAGTAGGCATATTGGGACACAGCAATAGACTCATATAGCTATTGGAGCTCCGCTCAGCCAAATAAATATATTCAACTGATAGTTGCAGCCAACTAATTTAATTGTGTAATAACATTTTGATAATATAATAAACAAAACTATAATAATATAGACTAATATAATAAACATAAAAAGAAAATGTTATTATATGAACTAAATTCAGTGAAATCGGTTATGAAGTGAATGACGCAAATGACTCGCTCAAAAAGATTCAGCTGAATTTACTGAATAAATGATTCAATGACTCTTGGAACTCCACTCAGCCAATTAAAGGGGTCATATGATGCTGCTAAGAAGAACATTATTTTGTGTATTTGGTGTAATGAAATGTGTTTATGCGGTTTAAAGTAAAAAAAACACATTATTTTCCACATACTGTACATTATTGTTTCTCCTCTATGCCCCGCCTTTTTGAAACGCGCCGATGTTTACAAAGCTCATCGTTCTAAAAAGCGAGGTGTGCTATGATTGGCCAGCTATCCAGTGCGTTGTGATTGGCCGAATACCTCAAGCGTGTGACGGAAATGTTACGCCCCTTACCATACTGTGATGGCGTGTCCCAGCCGGAGCGACGACACAAAAACATTAAAACCCATTACAAACGAGGCATTTGTTGCATCCAGTGGGGACATAA